ATGAGCACCTTTAATGGGTGTCCCGTTGTACGCCCATTTCACAGAACGGGTTTCTGTGTATATGTGTAATGTGTAATTGTAAAGCGCTTTGAGCACCTGTAAAAGCGCTCTAATAAAAAAATGTAATGCATTATTATTATTATTATTATTATGATATATCAAAGCTATTATATTTATTCTAGCTAGTATTAGCTATCATCCTCTAATTCCATTGAAGATGACACCAGATTAATAATACCAAACGTTATTATCAGTTGGGTTAATTAAGGTTAGTTTGTACAAATTATAACTGATAATAATGCTGATTGAGCATGTTCATTTTTAAAAGGCAGACAAAAATATCTATATTAATTTATGTGATGTATCACTTGTTGTTGCAGTTTGCATTGATATGTGAGAGTAGCCTCCTTCATAAAGTTAATACTGCAGATATTTTGAGAAACTGTTTAGATTATTTACCAAGTTATGCTCCCGTCAGACACTGTAGTTCAAAGCCAGAGACCGGAACTGCAAATTGGAGCAAAGTGAAATATTGGATATTTATTTCCCATCTTGAAAACATATAGATCAAACGTGTGAAACTGCTCTGATGAGAATGTTTACGATCAACAGCGAAAGAGGAAAAATATACAACCACTGCTCGTGCCTTTTGAGAGTTTTTAATATCCAAATGCAAGCTAATTATGTCGCACATATAACAGGAAAATTGTTGTTGTGGAAATAGTTGAAAGTAGTTCTGGATCACAGGAAACTAACGACAGGTTGAAGAGAACAACATGTTGAGTATTCCTGGTTTGATGTTATCAGGAGGATACACAGTTGTCTTTTCTTGAATCCCTTGTTTATTCTGTTGTGTTTTTGTGTGCTGGTGGTCAACCCTCACACATGCAGACAATGTTAATTCCATTCACTGTGTTGAGGTAAGAGTCCAGCAATAGAGCCCAGCAGATGCTCTAACCCGTCAGCAGGGAGAGGGGAGCGTGGAGCCCCGCTGTGCAGCAACTGAGCTCAGACCTCCCACATTTGTTTGGAGTGGTCGAGTCATTAGCAGCGAGTGTTTGACACTGTCACTCTGACAGGTGGTCAACAGGATGATTCAAAACAAACAGACGGAAAATCCTCTTGTTAATTAACCAGCATTGATCAGAGCAAATCACTTTTTATTTAAAGGTGGGGTAGGTAATTTTGGAGAAACCAGCTAGAGTGCGCTAGGATTTGAAAATACACAGCCGGAACAAATCTAACCACTTCCTTACAGAGCCCCTCCTCCAACACACACGAACGCGCACATGACCAATGAGGGCACGAGATAAGTTTGTGCACAGATGGAAGGCTGACAGGCAGGTAGGCCATCCAGTTATTTTAGCCGGCCCGGCTAAAATGATTGGTCGTGCTTGTTACAGTACTACGGCTTCCACAGAAGACATTTTTTTATGGATTTTTTGTCAAAGNCCAGCTATCGTTTAGGACTACACCATAGCTGTGTCCCAATTCAGAGAGGAGGACCCAGCCTACTGAGGACCCAGCCTCGCAGCAAAATGAGACGGTCTACGGAGCATGTCCTTGTACGTCACCGGCAGTTACCCCTACATTTTGCTGCCCCCGTCACCTAGCAACCAGCTGCAGTCACAAGTGCCGGTAATAATTTCTGACACTAGGCAAAATATTTTCAAACTGTTTTCAAACTGTTTTCAAAACTGTTTTCAAAACTGTTCAATATGGAGTCAGATCTCGCTGTACTTATTTTGGTGTTATGTTTAAATTATTTTCCATAGGTCGCAACAGGCCCCCGTGAAGAGGGCTTCATTCTCCCCGCGCATCTGGATAAATTGCGCAGTCTGCTCCTTGCTCCCTATCAAAACAAAATTGTTGCAGTAAGATTTGTATAACAAAAGCAGTTAAATAAATAAATTAGCTTTATAATGAATCCCAACAATATGAAAACCAAACATGGTTTAGAAATATTTTCACTTCATATTATTTTATGTATGTAATATAAAGAAGACATCTCCAATTGCCCGTATATTTAAATACACAAATTAAATAGGTTTACTTTTCTTTCATGTCGTTTACTATTTGGGTGAGTACATTTAAAAACGAATCCAGCTGAAATCGTTGTAGCCGTTGATGGGACGTTACAAGCCTTATTTTTTTTTTAAAACTCATTCGTCACCGTCACCCGTTGCATCCTGGGATATGGTAGACCGCGGAGTGTACATCAGATGTATCCTCTAAATCTGGGGAAAGAAGGCTGCATTTGCGGGCCGCATTCGGAGGAGTCTTGGCTTTTTTTTAAATTGGGACAGCCTTCGTTTGGCGGAAGTGACGTATGCGGACTCCGAATGCATCCTTAGGAGGATGCGGCCGCTGAATTGGGACACAGCTACTGACTGTATATATAAATGGACGTAGTGTCCGTGACGTCACCCATGGGATTCTGCAGAGTTGNAGATGTCCCGGAAGGGGCGGGGATTGGATGACGTCTCATCCAATCACCTCTTCGGATGCAGCGAGGGCGGGACGTCGGAGGAACTGCGCCGCTCATGTGTACACACACACACACACACACAAACAGGTTTAACAGCCTTAACAGCCCCAGGAAGGCAGCGGCTGTAACAGTTATACTAACAATTTAAGTCATGTTTAATGATCTTGAACGTCACTAAAACATAGCTATTAAGAAAGCCATTTCATGAATGGCTAAATCTTGAAAAAAATAAAAATTATTTTTATTGTTTTGTGTTAAGATATTCAGGAGTTAAATTATTTAAAATTCCCAGTCCTGAATGTGGGTTTGTGGTGAATGTGGGGATCTACAGGACACACATTTTCAGAGTAAAGGCTTTCACATTATTATAATTATATATTTTTTTAAGGCTACATTTCACACCAAAACGGAACACAAAAGCAGGACCAACCATCATACGTTGAATTCCTTGACCAACAAGAGAAAGATTCATTCATTTAAATAAATATTTAACAACAAATGGGCCGGTTCTAAAGGGTTATTCAGTTAAGCCCCATGAGAGGGGATACAGCTGCGCACATCATTAACAGACGTCGTTTAAAAGTGACGTTTGAGTGAACGAGGACATCCCAATTAATACCTGAGGACTCCTCTGTCCTCGCGTCTCCTCCTCGTGTCTCTCGCTCGCATCTTATGGAGGCGGAGCTAAGACGCAAGGAAGGGACGCGAGTGAGGGAAAGGAGGAGTCGAGGAGGGGTATTGGGATGAGGCTAGAGTGTTTGCTTTAATCATAGTGCGGCTCTGTTTTCATGCTGTAACAATGTCGCCACCTAGTGTTTCTCCTCCATTACTGTGGAACATTTGGCATCTATAAACACCTTATTGGGCTGCATAATGTATTTGAAAATGTATCACAAATGATTTTGCTTCCCACAAATAAATTAACATGACCGACTGTGAAACTTACAAGGTGAATGATGCGGCTGCAGTCCAGAGTAATAGAGTAACAGTAACACTATTTATTATTACATATTATGTAATATATTCAGTCGTAGAAGGTGTATTGACATCAATATAAGTGTAAAGACACTATCATTTTCTAAATATTACTCTATGGAACATAAGTCTTATTATCAAATTTGAATTAAAGAACCAAAAGTAAATGTACTCATTTTGTACAATTATTTGATTATAATTATTGATACATTATCACACACACATCACAGCTGGTGAAGTTAGAGCTCATTTAACAACTTTTTTTTACTGCTTGGTACTTTTATCTATAATAGTACATAATGATTATCTAGTTGTTTTAAATGTTGTAGTATTCATCTGAATCAAAGGAAAAATGTAGTGCTGTGAAAAGGAACATGTATGCTTCTTAGATGTAGTGGAATACTAGTATAAAGTAAAGAAAGAAAAATGAAATACGAGTACGAGTTCCTCTAAGCTGTAATACAAGTACAGTACTTTTATTAAATTGTATATAATGATGACATAAAGTTAGGCGCAACCAATGCAGAAAATAAGTCTTGAGCCCAGTATACAACTAAAAGCAGAAGGGAAAAAACTAAATGCACTAAATTCAGTGAAGAAGAACTTTATTTATTTTATAATCATTCTTATTTTTGATGCAAAGATTATAGATAATAATTTGTCCCCAAATAATTGAAAAATCCTTATCATCATATTGATTCATAAGATTACCTTGTTGGCGGCCTCTAGGGAACTGATGAGTGTGTTTAACTCCTCTCGGTTCATCTCCATGGTGACGGAGCGCAGGGCTGCGTCCTCCCTCACATCCAGACTGAGGCTGAGCAGAGGGGTGTGCAGGGACGAGATCTTATCACTGGAGAGGGACAGCTGCAGGGGGGGGGCACAGAGGGGAGGGGGTCAACTTTAGAGAGACTTGTCTTCTAATGCCCCTTTTCCACCAAACCGGTTCCGGTTCAAGATCTGTTCTTGTGCTTTTCTGGTGCTTAACTGGTTCTTCTCTGTAGCACCACTTGTGTTTCCACAGGCAGCCGTCATAATATGCTGTAGGTCTTCAGGCAGTCATAAATGCATTCATGACACTTTACCTGTCACAATGCAGACTCTATACATTACATTAATGCAAACAATGTTGACAATATCTGTTTTTTCTACTGCACATATTTTATATCATTCTATTTCAATGTAAATACTGCTTTATTTTGTTAATTTTTCTATTTTACATTATTATTTTTATTTTTTTAATGTTATTAAGATAAGATAAGATGGACTTTTATTAACCCCTCGTGGGGAAATTGTTTCTCTGCATTTGACCCATCCTAGTGTTAGGAGCTGTGTGCTGCCATTTTGAACGGCGCCCGGGGAGCAGTGCCTTGCTCAGGGGCACCTCGGTAGCACTTGGTCTTTCCAGGACTTGAACTGGTGACCTTCCAGTTACCAAGCCAAGTCCCTATCGACTTCGCCACCACCGCCCTATTATAGTTTTCTTTAAAAAGTTCTGTGTTTTTTAATTTTTGTTTTACTTTGATGTATGCACTGCCAATTCTTCGTACTTGTCAACCTACCTGGTAATAAACCTGTTACTGATTCTGATTCCGATTGTGCAAAAAGTCACACCCCCATGACGAGAACAACCTACCAGTGCTGAGCTGCATCTCAAATGAATCTTTAGAGCTAATACAAATTACAAATAAAGCATGGAGTGACCTTGAGTTGCCAGTCGAAGTCCTGCAGCGTGGCGGAGGAGATGGAGTTGGTTCTGTCCAGCAGAGCGTGGTGGATCTCCTCCCGTCTGGCCCTCAGCACGCTCAGCACCGCCTCAGCATGGCTGCTGCCAACATCTGCCAGCCCCCCCAGCACCTGCACGAGAAACAGAGCTGAGACCACAGCCAGCATCCTGCTCTGCTGTATAAAGCATGGAGGTATACTGAGAACTGGATAAAGCGTTGCAGGTCATTATGGCCAAATGAAACCAAAATGGGCTGACTCTGGAGAACAAGTACTCGGATGTTCTGACAGCCCTGTGCAACCAATGAGTTTGTTTATTCTTATATTGTGCCAGAAAACCGTTTCATATTTGTATTATTTATAGAAAACATTCATTCTTCAGGTCTTCATCATACAAACTGAATGAACACAAATACAACTTTTTCAAAAGCCTCTTTAATGTGCTATATAATAACCTCAATGAGAAGACTTGAAATACCAACAGTCAGTGGTTGCCTTTCATTCATTGTCCCTCATAATCTATTATTACTCATGATTCTTCCGATGATAGTAAAATGCTTATTGAAAGAAATCACATTTCCATTCATTCATTAAATTCAATAATACATTTCGAAGACAAGCTTTTATTTGATGAACTTCTAAAGGCATGGAACATACAGATGCACAGACGTATGTCAACAAAGAATGTACAATGTAAGTCAATAGAAGGACTTTGTTGGCCTGGTGACATCAGGTGACTGTCACGGAGATTGTAGCTCCACACTTTGGCCACTAAGAAAAATTGCTCCAACCTGAGTTCAATAATTTAGTAAAGATCTGCCATATAAATGTAGAAAATAAAGTCAGCTGTTCGTCCTTTTCAGTCCCCAAGCAGAAGTCCCACACCCCTGGCTCTCACCTCCTTCTCGGAGCTGTCGCTGCCCACTGCCCGGCGGTAGAAGGCGCTCAGGGAGTCCAGCAGCTGCAGCCACTCCTCCGGGCTCCAGGTGGTGCTGTGCTCTGACCTGCGGGGGGGCTCCCTGCCACACAGGCCATCCACCACCCTGTGACAAAACTACACACCAGACAGAACCAAAAAAGTTATTTGGTCTGTTTGGGCTCCCATGTTGGGGCCTTTAGCTGGGATGTGAGCGACACAGATACTGGTTATATATCCCAGCATTCAAAGGCTTTCACATGCACAATAACTACAGTGTAGTTTGGGCAATGCAAATCCCAGGCTCCTATGAAAATGCACAATACACTTTAGACATAATAGAAAAAGAGACAACATTTTGCAAAAAATTGTGCATTAGATATAATGTTGCAAGAGAGTTAAATGAATAAGAAAACAAATACAAAAGCAATATATAAATATTAGGAAAAGGAAGAAAGAAAGAAAGACATAAAATACAAGGAAATAAAACAAGTATAACATATAAAACAGTTACTCATTAATGCAAACGAGTTACCACAATAATAGAGATTAATGACAGTCATATCTTAATCATGAAATACAAACAAATTGAGCTAAAAATCAAAGCAGGGAAAAAGACAGTGTGAGATAGAATATGATACAGACACTTTGGTAACTGGATTAAAACATGCTTATTTTAGAAAATGAATAGTGTGATTTTAAACTAAATCTGATATCCTCTTAAAAAGACAGAATATGTGACATATGTATTACGTAGCATGACGTTAATAATATCAATTTATAATTGCTATTACATTGAGTTGGATGCAGTGGTAGAAAAAGTACTCTGCTAAAAGTAAAATAGCAATACTAAATTGCAAAAATACAATAAAAAGGCCTACATGAAAATCATAACTAAATAAAAGTAGTAAAGTATTGGCATCAACATAGCCACTAGAATGATGAATTATGGTCTATTTCAGATTATAAAACGGACAAGTCAAATCAAGCAATCTGATTGGTTCTTAGCCGTGATATACTGAGCGTATACCACGGGTAGAATTGTAAGTTACTTTTCACAACAAGTCAGTATCCCTCCGCGTCTGAGAAAAACAGTATACCGTTGAAAAGTATACCGTTGCTTTTCATACTGGAACAAGAAAGCAGCGGAGAAGTAACGGGGCAGAAGCCCTCCTTTTTGACGCAGCGGTCCAGACATAGACATCACACGGCAAAACATATTCAGTGTGCAATTCCTTTGGCATTAGGGCAGGGATATCTAGATACTTTTGAAGGTTTAACATAATGAATTGTGCTACTTTTAAAGCAAGCAACGATGTTTTCAAATCTGTAATCAAAGAGGTCCGCAAAAACGCTATCGACCAATCAGATTGCTTGATTTGACTTGTCAGTTTTTATAAATATATTTAAATGTCTTCCGTTACGAAACAAACTTACAAAGCATAAAATGGAAACATTTAAGATTAACTTCGACCTCCGGGGGGTCTTACTATAGTATGGAGGAGTGGATTGAGCAGTGCCTATCTCCAGAAAAAAAAAGCACCTAAACTACGACATGCAGAGCTACGTGAAGAGCAGGTAGACCAACTGGAAAAGTACCACCATTCAAAAGCTTTCTGATTTTCTTGAAACAAAGCAGAGAAATTATGACCGTTAGTGGCCACAGGTGCGAAAGCTCTCTCCAGAGCTACTGGAAGCCCAATCTCGGGGACCGGAGAAAGTGGAGCAATATTCTCGCCACGCCAAGCAACAGCCTAGAACAACCTCAACCTATACAAGTGACCACGTAAGGCATGCTACTGATGCTGGACAGTTCTATTTTATCAAATATATGATATTTATTATACTATAAGTTTTATTTTATCAGGGAGGCATAACGGAAGCGGTGTTTTTTATCCACCGTTCCAACAACGAATACGTTGTAAACAGTCTATGTGATTCGTCGCTTGTGATAATTCTGTCTCTTCTCAACTACGGTATAAACCGACAAAGTAAATGTTAATATCACTATATCAACTGACAAATTATTACACGTTGATGGTGAGTTTTGACTTCCAATGGTATTGACGACTTCGGCTGTTCGATTAGATACTCATGTACCTGCGCGGGAGATATTCCGATAGCGATAACTCACATTTAGGGGACGCGGGGGACGCGTCGGTGACTTTGTGAACATTCAGGTTGCGGTGTTGATCGTTCCATCACGGTGGGAGGTCGCCCGGATGAAGTTGCCATATTTATATCCTTCTCGGCCGTAAGACGGGTAGTGAATTTGGATTTATTGATAATAGGGAAGTCGATAATAGCATCTTGTCACCCGCGGGTCGCGAATCTCCCGACGCGGTAAATGCAGTTATCTTCGACCCCAATGTCATCCATTGGGAGTCAAGGATAAATAGCATATACACAGCGGGAGGATTCCTCGATAGCGATAAGCGCAATTACCCCTTCGTCATGTTACGTACAGTCAACGCGGGTGTGACCTCTTAGGCGTGGCCTATCGTTATCTTCGGTGTCTGTGTTGACGTTTTTATGTAGTGGTGGGTGACGGTCTAGCCGGTACGCAATTACTCGCCGTAGTGTTCAGGACTACCTTGTATCGTTTGCTACGGATAGTATAGGGCGTGCCTCACTTCCGGACCCTTGTTATGTATGGCCGTTAGCGACACTCTTTCTCTCTGCTTTCCTAGGTGGATAAAACGCGTCGTTAGTATTCTCCCCCTTAGTCGCAGTCTGAGTTAGCACGTCACAGTTGTCTTTGTCTTCATGTACTCTCGCGGGTCGACCTAGGAGACTTGCGTCAGTGAGGAGACTGGTCCGGTTTAGGCATGTTTCACACAGTCTCCTATTTCCTTGTAGGGAGGATATTCTCCCCTTTTCCCGGCGTAGAGCGCTTACGGCTCTCCGGCCTCCTCCTGCGGTCGACAGAGGGACTCAGTGAGTGTAGTGTCTGTCCTGTGGGTCTATTTCCACTACAGTCTCTCTTTTACTCCTCTGTAGGGGATGGTTTATTTTTACTTTATCTTGCTTGTCCCCCTATCTGTTTCTACTGTCTGTCGCGTTTATAGGAAGGGTGAGGTGTTTAGGAGTCTTGGCAGTTTTCGGCACCTTCCTTCTCTCCTTTATAGAGACCACCTCACGCTACTACTTAAGCATGGCCCCTAGTGGGTTGTCTCCTCTTTAGGAACACTTTGTCGGAGTGTTTGGACCCACTGTCTGGCATACAGCGTTTTCTTCAAATGTGGCTTAGCTCCGCGAGAGACATATTATGTCGTGTCTTGTCTCGCGACTCTACTCGGCGATTCCGTCGGCACGGGCGGTTGGGAATCTCGTTCCTGTCGCACGTGCTGTTCCTGTCTCCTCTAAATCTTTTATCGCCTCCCATTTTTGGACGGCGTTCTGTGACATAAGGGACGCACTGTCCTTCACAATAGGTAACACTAGAGCTACCTTGACGACCCCCCTCTCCGAAGAGACACTCATCCGTCATTACCAAATTACCACTGCTCGGTTGTCGGTAGTGGTGGTCGGCGCTTGCGTACCTTGCTATAGGAGTTACAGACTAGTCCTGTTGACGAGTAGTTATTGACTAGGTATGTCTGTTGTGCGACGACAGGTGATTACTCTTTTTATTTGATTCTTTCGTCCTCGTGTTGTAGCACTCTATTATGTTGCAGTTTACCTTGGTTGTTTTTTTTTTTTTCTTTCTTGTTGCTGCTTTTTTCTCTTTTCTTCTCTTTTTTATTTTGTGTATGTTTGTTTATTGTCCTTTGTATTATATTGTTTAGTTATCTTCTCGCTACTTATTGTCTAGTCTCTTTTTTTTTGCGTCTCTAGTCTTACTTCTATCATTCTGTTTCACGTCTTGTTGTCTTCCGGCTATTTATTATTTTGTCTCGATGTTTATCTTCTCTTATATATTATTTATTTTTGTATCATCTATCTCTCTTTTATTGTTTATTGTTTGTTCTTTTCTTTTTTTTGTTTTTTTTTTTTTTCGTCTTCTAGTACGTTCTATATTTTTTCTCTAATCCTCTATGATCTCCTTACGACAGATTTTCTTAATCACTCATCTGACTGCCGAATTATATTCGCTCGGCGCCCAATGTAATTAAGGCTATCCATTTTGTTGAAGAACTTTGTCGTTCGGACCACGAGCATTTCTTCTTGGGCGACCCCCGTGAGTCGACCTTATGCCGATGTAATTGGTGCGCAAGACCGTAGAGATAACTACGGTAACGGTGTTTTTTACGGTGCGGGACACTCCGCTTCTCCGACGCTTCCTTCGGGAGGTGTGCGACGCAAAGTGAGGCTGAAGTAGTACTCCGCGCGTGTGCGAGTCCCCTACCCTACTTTTTTCTAATCTTCTCTCTATCTGTGTATACTTCCGCAATATTATGCCAGCGAGTACCCACTAATAATTCCGGTCACTCATGCTCCGCATAGAGCTGTCGTTCCTAGCTGGCGCTCGGTAGTATCATGCAATTTAATTTGGTTGTCCAATTTTGGTCAAGACGTCGCTGGATCGATAGATGATTATGTGTTAATTCAGCGCGTCAGTGGCCGAAAATTGAATCGTACGTGAGACTTTACGATAATTGGCTGCTCACATATTTGGTCCGATATCGTGCCTTCGGGACGACCGTCATAATTGCTGTCTCGTATTATCCGTAGTTACCAAATGTTGTCCCGCACTTCTCCGTTGTGGTCCACCCGCACTGGTCTTATGCCCGAAGCGCGCCCCCGGATAGGTTGGCGACGCAGAGGTGAGGCTGGGAGTAGTACTCCGCGCATGTGCGAGTCCCCTACCTACCTCCACACCACGTCAGCGGGTGTACTCCGCAATATTTGCCGCGAGTACCTCAAATAATACTGGTGTCATCACATCCTTCGCAATAGGAAGCCTGTCTCCTTACGGCGTTCGTAGACGTCCAAAAATTGGCTCCAATTTTTGCCCGTCCGAAGACTTTGCTCGGCACGACCACTTAGTTGTACTTAATCATCCGTCGAGGCCGAATTAATCGCTCGAGACGTCAATTACTTGGCTATCCAATTTTGGTCGTCCGAAACGTCGCTCGGGGCACGCGGTACCGCGACGCCCGCGACGCCCGCGAAGGCTACCCCGTGCAGTGGACCCTTATGCAAGTAGAGGGGAAGACCGAAGAGACATACACGACATTACCAGCAAGTAACCGCTGCTGGTGTCGGTAACGGGAGCGACGGCACTCAGCTTTCCCGACGCTCCTTTGGAGGTGTGCGACGCACAAGGTGGCGCCGACAGTAGTACCTCCGCACATGTGCGAGCCTCTACCCACCTCCACACACGTCACGACAGGGTGTACTCCGCAATATGACGCGAAGTACCACAATAATACCTACTGGCACACACACTCCGCATAGAGCTGTCCCCTTACGGCGCTCGAGACGTCCAAATAATTGGCTAATCCAATTTTGGTCGTCCGGAAGACGTCCCTCGGGACGAACAGATGAATTAGTTTGTCTAATCACCGTTCCTCGGCCGAATTTAATGGCCGAGGCGAAGGAGCCCTCCGAGAGCACCTCGTCTGGTCCTCTCGCCCCCTCGGAGTGAGGGGAAACTGAGCGGCGGGCCCTCTGTAACAGAGACCCCACCGCCCCTCGCCTCTACACCCTGCCTCGGGGGACGTCGGCGGCCCCGTCCAACGACACCCGCAGAGAGGCGAACCGCACCTGCGGCGCCGACGACGTCAGCAACCACGGCGACACCGTCTGAGTCATAGGCTAGACCTGGGTCGACCATGTACGGACCGCTTACGCAGTGGTGTGACTGACAAGGCGCCGGCAGAAAGTACCTGAGGTGGTACCGCACTTGGACCCCAGGCTTGTCGGGCAGCCCGACTACCCTGCGCAGGTCATCGTGAAAATGACCGGCAGAGGCATTGTCTGGCGGCGGCGCTACACCACTTGCCTCTCCCCCTTTCGTACAGGCTTTTTTTTGGCGCGTTCTTGACCGTGGTTGGTTGTGTACGAGGCTGAGACAGAGGTGGTCAGGCCCCTCTTCCTCCCTCCCCCTCTTGGCTTCCACTCTTGGCACCTCCCTCGCCCGTCCTCAACGATAGCCTGAGGACGGGCCGTGAGACGGGGTCCCTCTGTGCTCCGGGGGCCGGCGCCCGAGGCATTCGGGACCTTGGCCGTGTAGCATGGAGTGAGCCGTGTGTCGTCGTTCTCACAGTGGCGAGAGCGGCAAGGACAGCGGGCTCCCCTCCCCTCGCGTCACGTACGATTGACGACAAATCTCGGCGCATCTCCCCTCGTCTAACGGCCCGGACGGAAGGATAAATATGGCCTTCCTCCCGGGCTCCCACCCCGGTGGAACCGGCCCACCCGCACCTGATGTTCACAAAGTCACGACGCGCCCCGCGTCCCCTAATGGGGTTATCGCTATCGGAATCTCCCGCTTCGG